GCTCAGACGACGCGCAAATGCGCGTCAAGGAAGGCCATGTCATAAAGAGAGACGATGCACTTTTACGCGTCGTCTATAGACGACGCGCATTTACGACACTCATTTACGATGCGTGATTACGACGCACGTTTACGACACGCAATGCGTATCCAGGAAGCCCCAGTCATAAAGGAAGATGACACGCATTCGCGTGTCGCAACCTTATGACGCGCGTGTTAATGACACGCAATGCGCATCAAGAAAGCCCCTATCAAGAAAGGCCATGTCATAAATGAAGATGACACACATTTTTGCGTATCATAATTTTAAATGTTTAAAAGAAATATTATTTGTAGATTTACTAATTTTCAAATTAAATTTGTATTAATGTCTCATAATAGAAAATTAAATATCATATACGAAAAAATACAATCCATTGTTTAAAATTTAATGTCATACAAATAATCGTTCCTTGTAAAGATAAAACAAATCAATAGTTGTAACAAAAATTTAATGCCATACATTGTTATTAAGGGGTTTTCCCTAACTATATAACCTGATACTATATCCCTAACCATATAACCTGATCCTTCATGCCATTAGTTTGCCACCTGGTGTACTACGTAAAAATGTTGAACTTGGTGTCATGGGCAGCTGCCCACCGGGCGTGGTTGGAAAGTAATTACTTGCTGATAAGATAACAATGCTTTAATCCAAGACGAGTCAAGAATGCCTAAGAAAAAGAATCAACTAAACAAGAAAAACCTTGATTGGATTTTTGTTAGTGTAAGAAGTTAAAGGTACAACCCTTTAAAAGGCAGCTGGTATCCCAAGTGTGAGGAATGGAGGCCTATGATCCATTGTCACCTAAAATAAAAAAATTCCTGTTAGAAAAAAACTTCACCTTTATTTATTAGTTTTCCCCCCACCACTGTAGGCATGCTTCAAATTCGTTAGATCAATGTTGTCTAAACTGTTAGACAACAATGAGTTTCCAAGTAATCCTAAAAATCAAAGTAATGCTTCAAACTCTTGTCAGTTTTGTTAGAAACAAACTTTCTGTGGAAGATCTTTATGCCAAATACATTGAATTCATGGGGGAGTGAAATATTCAAGCCCAAGTGTTAGAAGGAAAAAATGACACCCTGTCAAAAAGAAAGAAAGTATGTCTAAGTTGATTTCAATCTATCCCAATTTTCATTGATCAAACATTCAACTTTCATAGATTCAATTCAAATCAAAAATACACCTCAACAGCCAAATAACAAATGGATCCAACAGTGAAGCGAGTCCATCAGCAAAGCAAAATCCTGGAGATAATTTGAAGAAATTCTGGTCTAATATGTTTAAAATTTCATAAAACCCAAATTCACTAATGAAAATGCAGATCTATATTGGTAAGTTACTATGCATTCCAACCTTGAGAAAAAGGTTAGGCAATATGTTGAAGATGCAGTTGCAAAACCATATTCCAGCAGAATAAGAACTATAGGGAATATAACACCATTTCCAATAAACATTTCTGAGCCTACAAAGATAGAAAAATGATAAACATAGTTCATTAAAGATGTAAAATACTTCCAATAAACTGTTCTAGGCCTACAAAAAAAGGTTTCTACATACAGATACTACTGATGTAAATACTTACAATATACCTTCGAAAATGCATGTAAAATGTGAGTTTGGAGACTTACCAAAGATGTAAAAGAGAATGATTGCAAATAAGGAAGGGACTAAGAAGCTTATGATGTCCTATATATGTGTTGACACCCAATATGACAATATAGATACCCGAGTATTAGTAATGATAACCAGTTAATGGTCAAACTGTGAATCACATATTGGTTATACATTGTTGTGTTAACAAAAGAAAAGCGTAAAGAAAACAAACAAGTTTGCTTACCCCACTAATCAGTTGTTGATGTTTCACTTTTACTTCATGCTCCTGCATAAGACATGCATTACGTTAAAATACAAGAAAATATTCCCATTAACTAACTGTTTACAGGAAACCCAAATTAGTTTACCCAAAATGACCAATAAGTTATAAATCCTTGATCAAGAAATTCTTGTGTATTGCATAAAATGTTTATTGTTGGAATAATTGAGGGGCGTTAAAATAATTTGGTCAATTATGTGAAAAAAACAACTAGAGAGTGGCATACCTTCACAATAGGAACAACAAATGAAGCACGAATGAAATCACTATTTAAATACACAACAATAGTTACAGAGAATGCATCCAAGTCCTACAAGATCATACAAATTTCTATTTAAATACACACTACATATAAAGGTGTCAATATTCTGATTGTATGTTATCCTAGAAAAATTTATAAGATATGAGTATAAATAGAAGAATAATTGGAAGTATATGTATACTTGATGTGGCAGGTGTTGACTTTCTGTCATTGGAAGTTGTGAAGGTTATGGAGGGTTGATCAGGATGTGCCAACCTAAAGCAACATATCAAAAGAGCCCAATTAAGCAACCATACAAGCTCATGTTGTAAAATTTAAGTAAAATCTGAGAAATTACTTCGCTCACGCATGTTGCTGATGACATATGTCTGTAGATATACATAATTAACTTTACATTCCTATTTATTTCAATATATATATATATATATATATATATATATATATATATATATATATATATATATATATATATATATTCTAGAAGGGGTAATTCAGTAAAAGAAAAGTAATCAGTTCATTTTTCTGTTGAGGGCAAATCTGATATTTATGTTTTTGTGCATACATTATGTTTTTTTAGTACATATACACACAAAAAAAATTTAAACCAAAGAAACAAAAATCAAAACGTATGTGTATATTATTAAACAAGAAACAAAAGCAAAAAAAATGAAAATTTTTTACAATTATGCATATATATGGACGTGTATGTGTGTGTATTAGGCATAAGGCATTCCCAATTCCTACCCCCCAAAAAAACCTACTGTGAAATGCTCTTTTTTTTGGGTTAACCACATAAAAAAGCAATGCAATCTAAAAAAAAACCATTCTTATTTTACAAATATTATCCCAAATAAAAAAAATAAAAATAAAAACTTATATACGGGGAACCAGTTTTTTCTGAACAGATTTCGGTAAAACGGAACCGGTTTATATAAGTTCGGATTTTTTTGGGGGTGGACCGGTTTGGAACCGAACCGGTTTTCGAGTGAAACCGGTTTTGACTTGGTTGGCCGAAAGAAAGAAAGCTCTCACTTGATAAATGATATATGTCAACCGAATGGATGTTGCATTGGAGGTCCTTATTCATATTCCCTATATATATATATATATATATATATATATATATATATATATATATATATATATATATATATATATATATATATATATATATATATATATATATATATATCATACAAAACCAGCATTTTATTAAATAAATATTGCATATTCACATGTATAATGTATTTTTCATACACTATACATACAGGATGTGTTCCACATGACAAAAAAAACCTCATAACAGATGAGAATCAGAGTTTTGAAATTGTGATCAAAGAGCTTAAAACATAGATTACTAAACCGAGTTAACTCACCCGGACAAAAGAACAGCCATACTATCAACAACTAGCAACTTCACTTGGTGCTGTAGAAGTGAAACTTTAATTTTCTGCAAACCGGAAACAAAATAGTTGTAGTAAAGATTGAGTTTTTCAAGTAAATCATATGCATGGAGTTAATTAGAAATGGATTAAGATCTACCCTTCAGATCTCTCCCATAGTGCAGATAAAATGGCCTCATCACCAATATCACTGAACAGAAAACAACACTGGATGTCTTAAAAACTCTGCATGTACTCAAGAATTATAAGAAGAAGAAAAAAAACAAGCAAACTAGACTGCATTTCTACCCAGTAACATATATTTTTTTGTTTATAGATGAAAAAAATAACTCTATTTAGGGCAATGCAAAGAAGAAACAATGTTCCACAAATGTATCAGTTGTTTACTATATGTAAAACTTCTGTATATGTAAATTACAAATCATTAATCCCAGACTTTACACATAAGGTAGACAACAGAAAAAAAAACAATTCTAACAGTTGTTAACTATATGATAATACCTAATCAATCTCTTGAAATCAACAAAAAAAAAGTACCAGAATTTAACTTTTGGATATGGAACAGGGAACTTATAAAGTTTTGGTTATGAACTCACCACCAGCCTTCCTGTATGATGAAATAACTTAAAATCCCATGAAGAGCAAAGTAATTATCTATTGTTATTAGTAAAAGTAACTTACAAAAAAAACTTACTGTTAAAATTTGAGTAGACATCTGGATTCCAACCAATAAACTGGGACATCAGACAAGAAGTTGAGTTCTAGAGAAGTCTGATGAAATAATTGTCTAGCAATTTCCTAAAATAACAAAAAAAAACTTACTGTTAAAATAACAAAAAAAAAACTTACTATTAAAATTTTATTCATAGATGAACCAGGGAGGGTTGTGCCATTTTGGAAAACATCAGTTCATGCTCTATACATAATTGTCTAGCAATTTCCTGAAATGGATATGAAATAAGCTCAAATGAAGAAAAATCCGAGAAAAAGACAAATGGATTACTTGTGTTGATGTAACTACATGGGCCCTAACAACTGGAGAGCTGCGTAAAAACCTATGTAGAGTTAAAAGTTTCTTAATCATGATACTATTGAAATATCCCATAAGCATAAGCAATCTGATAAAATATTCAAGCTTGCCATAATCCTTTAGAGATGTTATGTGTAGAACAGATAGACAAAATAAGCACATACCTGCTTTTCGTTTTAAAGGCAAGCTAAACCCCAAGCCAATACCTTTCTAAAACCACCTCTTGCTGAAAAAATTCAAAAACAAGGAAACAAATGACAAAAAAACACCCTCAGAAAACCCCCAAGTATAACATTAAGCATATAATTTCCTTACGAGTCAAAACCATTTTTTGTGTCATTGTGTGAAGAGCTTTTTCTTAAAATTCAACTATTTTTGTTGCATGCACTATTCAGGAAAAAGTGGCAGCCTAGCAACACTTGTACCTGCAACACCACCCGTAGGTGCAATGAAGTCTGAACTAGGTTTGGAGTTTTTCCCTGATTTCTTGTTTAACTTTTGTGGAAGAATCTGTAGCCTTAGATTGAGGTTAGTGCCCGAGTTTTCTACATCCAATTAATTGGCTATAGAAACTAATGCCAATTAATTGGAGGAAACATTTCAATTCAATGCTCTAACAATTTACCAAACAAGAATATAACAAAACTAATGCTAAGATATGATCCCATCTATTATATATGAGAACATAAAATTTTTGTAACACCACAAGGAGACAAATGGTAATTGGTATATCTTATTACAGATACAGGCCATACAATTGTTGTCTCTGTTGTAAGAAAATTCTGGTTGTCCTGTAATTCAATGGACATTCAAGAAGATTATGGATGTCAAATACTAAAGAATAATAAGAGATTCCTAACTAAAAAAATAATAGAAATTACCAGTTCATTATTCTGAAAAATAGAATCAAGTTCACGAGTTGGAGCTAAAACTAACATAATTGGCCTGTCTCCAGGAGCTGAAAAAGAATTATATATTTGCTGAAAAACTTGAATTTAAAAGGTTGAAAAGAAAAAAGGGTATTAGCCCAACCTCCTCCCCCTGTCCCACCTTCAGTAGGACTTTGAATACAATTCCTCTGTTTTCAATTTTATATCTTTTTTACTTCAATTTTATATCTTTTCATTCAAGAACAAGCTCGTTAACACATCACCTGTATATACAATTGAAGTCATTATAATAAAATTAGAAATCATATTAATTGCACATGTTTTACACACTTCTTAATGATGAAAAATAATAGTTTATGTTCTAAAGGCAATCATATCTTCCTCCAAGGAATTTAATAGATTCCAAATAATTTTACAAAATCAAAATAATTAAAGAGAAAATTAACCTTCAGCCTCCATGTCAAAAACTTCACCAAATAACCTAGTCCGCTTTTATGTACACACATAGAGAAACCAACACGAGGTCCACGTGGCATTCCACCTTTCTTTACCTAAAACCAAATAAAGTTTAAATAAAATATAAGTTATTCACCTCCTGACAATGACATAGGACTAAATTTACCTCCTGACAATGACATGGGACTGAATTCACCTCCTGACAATGACATACGACTGAATTCACCAGCACGAGGTCCAGGTGGCAAACAGTCTGCTTTTTATTTAAAAGACCAAAATACCCTCGACAATTCACCTCCAGACAATGACATAGGACTGAATTTTCCATCACTTGATATGGCAGAATATAAAGAAGATGAAGACTGATATTAATTGAAAAATATATTTAATGACCATGTGGTACCCGCCTTTGACATTTGATCTTTGAAGAACCGCAACTTTCGTGCCATTTCTCCACATCTTTTGATCTTCACGACAGAGGCAAAATAAATAAAGCAATAATCAATACATTACTTACAGTCTCTTTTTCAATCAATATCAGTTTTAAAGATTAGAATGCAAAAATCAACTTCCAAAAGTCAATTGTATCTCTTATTTGGTAATCACAAAGTAACAATAACTTGTTTTTGAAGCTTGAAGCAGATTGAAATGGGTATAGCTGAAGAAGCTGCTTATTTCAGAGTAAATTAACGACCATTTTACCCTTCTGTATAAAAATTGGGTATCATGAGAAGTTGAATATAAAGCCAACCTCCATCCTGGTAAGTAATAAATGCAGCCATCAATTCATATGAGTTTTTGAATCATAAATATATAGAGAAATTGTACAAGTTATAATCAAGAAAAATTGACAAGTTTAGTGATTATTAAACCTGATGAACAGTAACTGGGACACCAAGCTCTACACTTGAGCCAGTCAAAAGCACAGAGGCAGCCCCAGATGAACTCTTATGAGGAGAAACATATAAATTTGATAAAACCACAGAATGTATAAACTCTAAATACATTTGTTTACCAATCCTGCACCATAACGAAATTTATGAAAAGATGAACTGGTAAAAAGATTTATCGATGAAAGAGATGATAATAAAACCTCAAAATTTGGTAGAGTTCGTACAAGTCAGCCACCAAGTGATTATAAAATTGATTTTAGGGATGCCATTCTTCAAATTACCTGCTCTATAAATGAAAAAAAAACCCTAATATCAGGGAAGAGAGAGAGAGAGAGAGAGAGAGAGAGAGACAGAGAGAGAGAGAGATCACGAAGAGTCAAAACATAACCTGAATGTTCAAGTGGTTAGATCAACCTGTCTTTTTCCATCCTCATCCCTGTTTAGAGAGATGTGATTGAAATTTCACAAAAATATAGGGTTAGAAAACCTTGGACGGCCTAATTCGATTGTGGAGTTGATTTTTTGCTAATAAAATCGCATAATAGGGATGTGAATGTGTATCTGATGGAATCTCTCCAATCTTCCTTCCCTTAATTCTATCGTCGTAGTTTTCTGCGTGAAGAGCCGAAAATCCGTAAGTCCCAAAGAAGTGCGAGGGAAGAAGAAGTAGCGGCAGTCAATGTCGGGAGGGGGAAGGAATGAGCGTAGATAATTAGGGCAAGACGGAAAGGAGAAAAAAAGGAAGGCAGGGTTTTTAATTTTTAAAGATTTCATTTTCCCCCTGGTTATTAAACGATGGAACGCGCGTTCCATTAAAATTTATAAAGCGACATCCTTAGACGACACGCATTTTATTATAGGTGCCCTCTGTGTTCCTTTTTAGACACTAATTTAAGGGCACGCAATAATACGTGACATAAATCCTTAAATTTTTTGAAGGGATGACACTTTTTTAATGTCACTCTCTACTGCGTAACATCAATCAATGAGTGTCGTGGTTTGCGCGTCGTAAAAGGGTATTTTTCTTGTAGTGTTTGCTAATACTGCATGAAAACGTATCTTCATCTTCTTTCCCTCTTCAGTATCCATAGACTTTGTCTCAGCCTTGAACTGTGGCATAACAAACATCATTTCATTGATTGGAAAATCAAGTTGACCAAAATCAGTATTTGTAACCACAAAGCTCTTCTTCGGAATCTTTTCAAAAGAATACATGTGATCGAACATCACCCTGGATTCTATTGTTTCATAATTGTACATTTTTGAAGGATCCCCCTTATCAACATTCGTACCTTCTAGAGCTCTTTGTCGCATTATACTTTCAACTTGCCTCATTCTTTCAATTTCAGCTGCCACCTCAGCTTTCTTCTCTTTGTTAGACTTCTCAACCAAAACTCCTTTTCCCTTGTCTTTATCATTCGAAAGAGCTACATTCTTTGACGAAGAGACATCACTTTGATTCACAATTACAATCCCTTTTGCAATAGGTCTTGAAATTGGAACAGTTGTAGTCACAGTTGAAATAACTGGAGCAGCTGAAACAATTGTTGGCTTAACAACAACTTTCGAAGGATAAACCTTTCCTACCACCTTCATATCTTCATTTTTCTTCTCATGTTCCCCAGCCTTTGCTTGACCAACCTTTTCTCCCCCTTGCACCCCTGTGACAGTAGGTAGGGCATCTGATACGTTTGGCAAAAGGCTTGAAATTCGAAGTAATGGAGCAAGGTATTTTTGTAGAATGGCTTCGAAATGAATGAATTTCTGAGAAAGAAATTCTTGAGAAATAATTGGTGAAGAAACTTTCGAAGATATTTCTTGGAGTTCTTTCAGCAGTTTCACCAACTCTCCAAAATGTTGTTCTTCTTTGGCTGAAAGAGAGATCATCTGAGGTTGACTTGTTCGAACATCTTAACACACTGAACAACCACATCACAAATAATGTCGATCTTCTGATGTGCTGATTCATACCCTTGTTGAATATGCTGAACCTCCTTCGTCATTGTTTCACAAAGTTCACGAATTTGCATATTAACATTTTCTCTAACCTTCTTAACTTCCTGTACAAAGAGCACATGACACTCCTTCGTAATAGTCTTCAAATCCTTCACTTCCTTCAGAAAAGCAGATCTCAGAGAATTGATTCTATTCTCTGTAGAACTATCATTCTGATCAGTTTTCTCAAGAATGCGGCTTTCAGAATCACGTATTAACCCTGATGCCTTCGAAATTATCCTTCTTTCCAATTCCTTTATTATGGAATCAACTTCCATGATAGTGATTCCAGCACTTCCCACATCCGCTTGAGATTGCAAGATAGAATTTAATTTTGAATTCAATATCTTGAACTGCTTCATCGTCATCAGCATATGGTTAGGGAAATCTTCTTCAGCTTTATCAAATGAAAGAGCTTCGAATGTTCCTCCAAATCCTTCGTTATCAGTTTCCTCATCAACAGCCATGGTTTCAGCAACAGGTGATGATGGATTTGGTGGATCGGTTGATTGTGTTGAGAATATAGTGGTGAAAGGTTGATCCATAATAGATTGGAATGTTGGAGAATCAGTTGTGGAAGTAACCTGAGGTAAAGATGTTGGTTTAATGAGATTTATATCATCAAGCTTCGAAATTTCAATAGACTGAAGAATCTCTACTTCTTTAGGAATTTCATCTTCAGGAGTCTCATGAACTTGATCCACTTCTTCTATACGTTGGGTTTTTTTTAGAAATTTTGCCACATCTTCAGCCCTTCGTTTCTTAGAAGATGGAGACACCGGAGCTGGAATTTCTCGAACGGTAACCCCTTGATGAGTAACCTATGTTTTCTTCATCAACTGAGATTTTCTCTTGATTTTTATTCTTCGAAAAACCCCCGTCTTCTGTAACAGCCCGAAATTTCAGGTATTGTTTTAAATCTATTTTTGGGTCATTTTAGGAAGGGACTCGGCGAGTTGGTGCCTGACTCGCCGAGTAGGACCATAGACTTGGTCGCGGATTTACGACTGGACTCGACGAGTCCATTAGGGACTCGGCGAGTCGACGCTGTTCAGCAGAAACCCTAGCCGTTTAGTTTGGAACGTATATAATGCCTCTTAGGCCGTCATTGTTCGTTTTTGCTTACTGAGAAGAACCCTAGAACGATTGTGTGCATCTGGAGAAAGGATTGAAGACCATTGTTGGGTTTGGAAGAGTTGTGTGCAAGGAAGAGGAAGGTTTAGCTAAAGGAACAGCAAGAGAATCACGTTCTGAGGATTGGGGACACAGAAAGTGCATCAATCAGGTAATATCTCGGATTTTGTTCTTCTGTGATTGATGTGTAAATGAAGTTAGGGTTTATAGAACCCATTTGATGATTAGATGGATTATTATGTTGTTACCCAAGTGTTTATACCCCAGTAATAGGATGTTTAGAGGTCCAGATAGTCCCATGAGTGTGTATTTCGGGATCATACGTGTTTCAGGAAGCAGTTGATCGAATGCATGGCATGGACTCGCCGAGTCGGATGAGCAGACTCGGCGAGTAGCTTGAAGATTCACTGGGACTCGCCGAGTTGTTCTTCAGACTCGGCGAGTGGAGTCGGGGTGGCCCCGCGATTCTTCCACGAGGACCTCGTTGAGTCAAGAGGGATACTCGACGAGTAGAAAGGAGAACAACAGGGAAAATTGGGGAGGACGTCTAGACTCGCCGAGTCGCCTTTGCACTCGACGAGTCCGGTCAAGTTGACCGTTGACCAGAGTTGACCTGCATGTAAATTCTTAGGGTCAGTTGTCTTGAATGATAAGAGTATCAATAAGGGTATATGGTATTATAGGGAGTCTGCAGATCGGCGGATCGAGTGCGAGTAGTTTCAAGAGTTGATAGCTCACATTACCACGAGGTGAGTCTTCTCACTATACTGTACCCGGAAGGGTATCTATGTGTGACCGGAAGGTCGGATGTGTTATGTGTTATATATATGCTATAATTGAAAAGGTAGTTGCTATGCATGCTATGTATGTTCTATGGGCCGGAAGGCAAAGTATTATGTGACAGAAAGGTCAGGTATGATATATGATATATGTGCTATATGTGTTTAAGTAATTGTACTATGTGTTGCATATGTTTGTGGGCCGGAAGGCAATATGTTACGGGCCGGAAGGCAATATGTTACGGGCCGGAAGGCAAAATGTTACAGGCCGGAAGGCAATATGTTATGGGCCGGAAGGCAAAATATTATGGGCCGGAAGGCGATTATCTCATGGGCCGGAAGGCGTTGTACTGTGGACCGTAAGGTTCGGGCCTGGAAAGGCGTATATGTGTAGTGGTATACTGGGGAACTCACTAAGCATTTATGCTTACAAGTTGTTATGTATGTGTTTCAGGTACTAGCGAGGACCGTGGGAAGGCGCCGGCATGATGCATACACACTGCTGCTATTTGAGATCTTGGGGATTTTATATATGTATTTGATATGAAACATGAAATAAATATTATTGGTTGAATGAAACTACTTTATTTTAAATGAAAATTTTATTTGAAAATTTGCGTTGTTACAATTGGTATCAGAGCCTTGGTTTGAGGGATTCGGGTGTACCTTCGGGTGTAACTGAACTCAAACCGAGGATTTGAGGAAAAATCTTTTTAAAAATAATAAATACATAAACTTTTATAAATACCACTTGTGAAGAAGAAAGTTCATCATAAGGACCAGAATTTGGAATTCCCAAAATCTTGCAAAATAATCGCTTGGAGACCCTAATTCTCGTATCATTAACCATTGTGAATTCCACACAACCTGTCTCCTTGTTGTATGATGCAGTAGAACCCGCCTTTGACAACCAGGACATCAGAACAGCAAATGAATCAAACATTGCTTTAGACAGAACCGAATTCTGTAAAGCAACCACAAGCATGTGAAGTTCCTCCGGATACTTTGACAAATCCGATTCAACTTGATAGTTGGAACCCTGGATCTTTAGAATCGGAACACTGATTATCTCGTCTGTAGTTGGTGATGAAGTAGTCGCCATTGATGATGATTTGAGTAAAGAACTTATGAAGAAGATGAATTGCACAGAGAATTTTGTATTTCAGAGAGTTTGATTGCGTAAAGTGTTAATGAGTTCTGATTTGCCCTTTTATATGTAACCCTAGAATTTTGAATTTGAAGCGGGATGCATTAAATGCTTGTTGACATGGCATCTTGAAAAACGAAATGTACTCATCAAAAAGTAACAGTCGTAACTGTCAACACGCCTTACACGCTTATCATACACCATGCGTCATCAAGAGACAAGACTGTTTGATATTCCCAAAAGAATTGTAACCGTCGGATGCATTCGGAATAGAGGTCAGGCTCTTTCACTTTGAGGTTTAAAAAAGCGAAGTCATTTGCCAGAATTTCGAAATTGTCAGTTTTAGTTGGTGTTACTCAAACCTCAAGGATTTCGTGTGTGCTGTGTTCCAAAAGAAATTAGATGAGAAACAAGGAAAAAAACTTTTGAAAACTTGTGATGTCAACAATTTCTTTTTGACACAAAAACAATTTTATCCCAGGCAAAGATATCTTCGAAAATTATCAAGAGAGATAATTAACAGCTTGTTTGGTTTCCCGTGAATTACAATCGATAACTTGTAGAGAAGTTTTGAAGGGTTTCTTTTATAGGTCAAATGGGTGGCTTCAAAAATTTCGTTACATATCAACCTTAAAATAAGGTGAGAAATTGTAAACAAAATTAGTTGTATAACCAGTGTAGTCAGTGACAACTTGGTTGCGAATGATATTCAAAGTTACTAGTATTTTGAAAATATACTCACACAGAAATCATATTCATAAAAAACATTTATGCTGGATCTTGTTGGGAACAAACATCGTAGTTTTCGAATGTTTGATTATGATCACTCAAAAGAAATGAATATGATTTGGAGTATAAAAGGTACTAAAACAAATGTTTCATAAGATCTAGAACATGGTTCCCCGTCAATTCCTTAAGGTTTATGATATTTTGGGTTTCACTACTATCACGGACTCATGATATTAGATCACAAACACAGATTTGTGATTTGTCTAGGTTTTGATTGGTTTGATCAAAGACCTCAAGGACAAATCTTCGAATATTTGGAATGTAAGAATTGTTTGGTTTAAAAAGATTGGTTAAGAATCGAAGGGTACCTCTGTTATATTGGACAAAACAGAAAACTCTTAACTCATTTGAGAAGAGTAAAGTAGCTCTTGTTGATTTATGCAAATACAAGCCTTGTTGGGTAGAAATTTTCATGAGATAATTTCATCAAGACTTTCATCTCTCATACATAGAATCATTCGAGGCTTGAGACAACATGCAACAACATGCTTCTAGGGACATCCTAACTAATCCAAAATGTATCGAGATCATACCTTTCCTTCAAAACTAGACGCATGAATCCTTCGTATTTGAAACTTGACAAAACTCACAATACACATGTTAAAACTAAAAAAATGAAAAATATTTTTGGTATTTTTGTAATTTTTCAAAAAATTAAGGACAAACTGAAACAAAAACTTTTTGGATTTTTAATTTTTCAATAAAAGAAAATATTTTTGATTTTTCAGGTTTTTCAAAAAAAAAATTAAACAAACTACAAATCTAACCTTAGTTGAAATGTGTACAAATACGAAGCATGCAAACCGTTGACTTGAACAATAACCTCTGATTATTTATTTCAAAAACTTCCGAATGCGAAGCGTTCGAAGCGTTGACCATGAACTGTAACCTCTGAACACTGAATCACCTTTTCTGTCCATACACCAAATGATTCAGACCCATCACTCTTCGCTTTTATCAGATTGAAGTGAATTTCCATCAATCATTACCAATCCATCTAAGATACGAAGAAACGATTTTTCATGCAAAGGTTTTGTAAAAATATCTGCCAATTGTTCCGTTGTTTTTACAAAATGAACTTCAATATTTCCTTCTTCAACATGATCTTTGATGAAATGATATCGAAGAGCAATATGATTGGTCTTCGAATGCTGCACAGGATTATGACAAATTCTTATTGCACTTTGTGAATCACAATATAAAGGAATCTTTTTCATATTAATTTCATAATCTCTTAATTGACTTTGAATCCAAATTATTTGTGATGTATACGCAGCTGCAGCAACATATTCAGCTTCAACAGTTGAGATGGAAACACATGTTTGTTTCTTCGATTGCCAACTGGCCAACTTTCCATCTAGCAATTGACATCCACCAGTTGTGCTTTTACGATCAATACTGCATCCTCCAAGATCTGCATCTGAATAGGCTTGTACAAAGAACCCTGTTTTCGAAGGATACCACAATCCTAACGAAGTAGTGCCTTTCAAATATCAGAAAATATTCTTTACTGTAGTGAGATGTGGTTCACGTGGATTTGATTGATACCTTGCACAATTACAAACAGAATACATAATATCAGGTCTACTTGCAGTTAAATACAATAACGACCCAATCATGCTTCGATACAAAGTAATATCAACAACTGATTTATCTAACGAAGGAGTTAACTTTATGCCCGTTGCCATTGGTATTCGTAACCTTGTGCTATTCGTCATTCCAAACTTTTCTAACAAATTCTTCGTATATTTCTCCTGATTAATGAAGATGTCTTCCCTATTTTGACGAATATTCAAACCCAAAAAGTTATTAATTTTGCCCATCATACTCATTTCAAATTTGCTTTTCATCAGATCTTCGAATTCTTTAGATAAAGCAGGGTCAGTTGAGCCAAAAATTATATCATCAACATAAATTTGAACAAGCATCAGATGATTCCCAATTTTCTTTCGAAATAAAGTGGGATCAACTGATCCTTGTTTAAATTTAGATTGTTTCAAAAAGGATGTTAAAGTTGCATACCATGCTCTTGGTGCTTGTTTTAACCCATATACAACTTTATCTAAAATATAAACATGATCAGGATGTTCTGTGTTTATAAAACCTGGAGGTTGTTCAACATAAACAGTTTCTTCGAGTTCTCCTTTTAAGAATGCACATTTTACATCCATTTGATAGAAATCAAAATCTTTATGAGCTGCAAAAGCCAGAAAAATACGAACAACCTCGAATCTTGCAACAGGGGCAAATGTTTCTTCGTAATCAATTCCTTCTTGTTGAGAATATCCTTGAACAACAAGTCTAGCCTTATTTCGAATAATGTTTCCATATTTGTCAGTTTTGTTTTTATAAATCCATTTGAGTCCAACAATTGACACATCAACAGGTTTTGGAATTAATCTCCAAACCTTGTTTCTTTCGAATTCAGACAATTCAGCTTGCATAGCAACAACCCAATCAGAGTGTTCCATTGCAACCTTACCTATCTTTGGTTCGATTTTGGAAATAAAAACATTAAACATGCATAACTCTTGATGATTATTCAGTACCTCATTTCGTGCATGAAGTTGTGCCCTTGTCATTATACCTGCTTGAGGATCACCAAGAATTTGATCTTTTGGATGATTTCTTGTCCATTTATCCAATGGTGGATAATTAGGATCAAAATCCAAAAGTGCATCTTCGAACATTACATCTGTTTCTGATCCAATTATGGAAATTGAATCATCAGTATCATCAAAATTTTCTTGTTCATGATTTTGATCATTCTCAAGTATAGGCTCCCCCTCAATGATTGACTCCGTTTCGATATTTTGCTCTGGTTCATTGATCGGCTCTTCTTCAAGAATTGGCTCCCTTTCGACATTAACATTTGTTGACATGTTATCTCTTTCACTATAATTCTCCCCCTCAACAAAACTATTTGAATCCAAGTGCTCCCCCTCGACTGGATCATCAGCTTGTTCATTTGGGTTTAGATTCAAATTCAAAATTGAATCATTGTTATGCTTCGAATTTTCTGATGTTTGATTATCAGTTGCATTTCTTTCTGCATCAACTGCTTGATCTAAAATACCAAAAATCGAATCATAATTAACATCATCCATTTCAATTAAATCATCTATATTTGAAGAATTTTGCAAAATAGGATAATTCGCAAATTTATGATTAGACTTTTTAATGTAATGATCATCAAATGTCAAATTAAAAGTTTCTTCCACTTTGCGAGTTCGCTTATTTAACACTCTATAAGCAACTGAATTATGTGAATATCCCAAGAATATTCCTTCATCTGCTTTTGTTTGAAACTTCGAAAGATTATCCTTAAGATTCATTATGAAACACCTGCATCCAAAAACATGAAAAATTTGACATTAGGTTTTCGATTATTGATGATTTCATAAGGAGTAACATCAAACCGTCTATGAATGAATGATCGATTTTGAGTAAAACAAGCAGTTGAAACAGCTTCAGCCCAAAGATATTGAGGTAAATTCGAATAAGCCAACATTGTTCTTGCAGCTTCACATAATGATCGATTTCTTCTCTCAACTACACCATTTTGTTGTGGTGTATAAGGAGATGAAAAATTATGCGAAATTCCTTTTTCCACCAGAAATGAATCAAAGACATGATTTTTGAATTCAGTTCCATGAATACTTTTAATTTTTTGAACTGTCTTTTTCAATGAAACTTCCATTTTCTTGATAAAATCAATCATTATTTGTGGAACTTCGGATTTTAACCTGAGAAAATAAACCCACGTAAATCTTGAAAAATCATCTACAATTACCAAAATGTACCTCTTCTTGTTAAGAGTAGCAACTGTTGAAGGACCACATAAATCAATATGCAAGAGTTCGAGGGGTTCAACAATCTTCGAATCTATTTTGATAGGATGACCTTGTTTGTGTTGTTTTCCTACATCACAAGCTGCACACAAACTGTCATTATCATATTTAAGAATGGGTAAACCTCTTACCAGATCTTGTATGACAAGTTTGTTGATGTTTCGAAAATTGAGATGTGATAATCTCCTGTGCCATAACCAGCTAACATCGGCAGCAGCCTTCGAAAGTAAACACACAGCAGCTTTGCCTACAATAGGAACAATATCCAATGTAAACATATCACCTTTTCTTTTTGACTTAAGTAAAACTGCCTTTGTCTTAACATTCGAAATGACACTTCCTTCTTCATTAAAAAGAACTTGATTTCTAGTGCCCACAACAAGTTGTGAAACACTTATCAAATTGTGTTGTAAACCTTCAACAAATGCAACTCTGTTGATAGTGAAATTTCCATTTGTTATCTTTCCATAACCCTTGACTTTGCATTTGTGATTATTGCCAAACTTAACCACTCCTCCATTTTCTAGACTTCGAAAATCACGCAAGTTTTCCTTCTTCCCAGTCATGTGACGTGAGAAACCGCTATCAATATACCATTTGTTATCATATTGCTCGTCACAAAGTACCTGCGATCATTGGAAAAATTTAGGTACCCAATCTTTGTTGGGTCCATTCATATTAGGTTTGTGTTTCAATTGTAAAGTACAACCATTAACCCAATCACAAACTTTGGTTTTGAGACTATCAATAAAGTTAACATTTTCATTCAAAGGGTCAGATATATGAGTTTTTATTATTTTCAAATTTTCACTAATTACACCCTTCTCTTCTTGAGTTTGTGATTTTTCACTTTTTGCTTTTATGACAGGCTGCTAAACTTTAATTGATATATTTGACTCTTTGGATGATGAACTACCATTCGTTGAAGGATTGGCATATTTGTCATATGCTTCATGTATCTGTTCTTTCGAAAACTTGAATGGTATATTTTTCCTTTTCCTTCCAACCAATGATCAATATTTCTCTTTGTTGTTATTCCCTTTGCATATGAGACTTTCTCAGCTTGTTTCTTCAAAGGATTATAACAGTTTGCTGAATTTAGAACATAATCAACTTTTGGTTTTGAAAGATATGATTCATGATAAGATGTTTTAATTTGTGACTTTGAATTCTGTGTTGCAACCTTTTTCTGAAAAAAATTTCTTGGTATTGTAGTTTTTGTTCCATTTGATACTTTTGATTCATTATTTGAAAACAAAGCATTTTTCTTTTCAAAAATTTGAGACTTTGATTTTTCTTTAAAAATCTTTTTTCTTTTTGAAAAATTTGTTGATCTCATTTTTGATGGCTCAACAGTTTGCCAAAAAATTGTTTTTCTCGCTTGACGTTTCGAAATATTATTTTCTTTTGAAAAAATTTCAACTTGAGCTTTAAATTCCTTTGAATTCAATTTTATTGCTTTGTTGATTGCTTTAACTTTTGTTTTAACACCTTCGTGTTTTGTAAACACATTTTCAACTTTTGATTTTTAAACCCATACTCTTTTTGATTTTTGATGTTGAAATTTATATGAATTCTTTGTAAAATTGTTTTCAACTGTAATTTGATTTGAAAAGAATCCTTCATTTGATGTTTGCATATTATCTTCCTCAATCATCTTTTTGAATTCAGGCTTTATGTTTTCAACATTACCTGTTGTTACGAAGACTTGATTTGGGAAAACAACATCATCAGTGCATTTGAAGATTGGATAAACAACAGTATTCGATTCAAGATAATGAGCAGCTTTTTCACTAAGAATTTTCTCAAATTCTTGTGTATTCAAATAGACTTGATCAACAACCACTCGAGGAATTTCAATTTCTTCCGACCCTTGAATAGGCTTCGAATTTGTATTTTCTTCCTCATTGTCACTATCATCGGTTTGACTCTCATGTATTTCCACAAACTCCATATCACAAACTTTCGAAGTTGAGGGTTTATCAGTTTCACTTTTTATTAATAAATTTTCACATTTGTCTTTCCCTTTAAATGAATTTGCTACATTTATGACAGACAATTGACAACAATCTACATCTTCTAAATCACTAATTTCACTAATATTATCAGAATTATCTTCAATATCAGCAATATTAGTTTCACAATTAGATGTAGAATTCTCAGTCTTTTTCAAAATTCGAAGTTATTCTGATTTAGATAACGTCTCATTTACAATTTTTACTAAATCATTAGCATCAAGATAATCTTCGACTTTAGCAATACCATATCTAAATCTATCATCTGGAATTTTGTTGAAATCAGAAATTTCTTTTTCACAATCATATGAAATACTATCAACCTTAGCTCTATCATAAGATAAAAATGGTAGTAATTTTCTATGTTGTTCCTTACTTATCTCACACGAATGATGTAACTCAGTTAATTTTCCATACAATCTTTTTGCTGAATTACAGAAAATATTTCTTTGTGCTAACAACAAATTTACTTCTTTTGCTAATTTTTCTCTATCCTCCATAATATTTGAAACTTGCAATTCTAAGTAATCAATTCTAGTTACTTTTGAATCCAACATTTTTCTTGTCTCTAGTAAATGATCACTTAACTTTTTCGCTTCATTGCTAGCAGACACAATGATTGAACCAAAGTAAGTAACAGTTTCATCAAAAGATACTAACTCAGAATTATATGCAGAAACTGGAATGTTAAAAGATTCAAGAATGTTACGTACCTTGGTAGTCATGGGCGACCTGTGAGTAGACTTCGAAACGAAGCATTGCCCACACACTTCGTCAGTCTGTTCATCATCTGAATCCTCTTCCATCTTTGCATACATAGCTCCATGAGTTGGATTTTTCATCTCTTCATCATCTGAACCCGAAGACCATATTTGATATGTGCCATCTGATTCAGTTTCTCCATGAGCCACCAATGACAAATTCTTTGTTTTCTTCTTTACTTCCTCCAGTTTCTCAGTGTTGTATGCTTCATCTTTTGTTTTATTTTTCTTTTCTTCCTTCTTCCTCAACAAGCAATCTGCTGCCAAATGATTTGCTCCATAGCAATAATGGCAATTAATCCCTGTATCACCTTTCAACATCATCTTCATTTGCTCCATCTCATTCTTTGAATCTGTCTTCATTTCTTTCTTCTTTTCATCCAATTTGTTTTTGTTCTCAAAACTACCCTTCGAATCTGATGACTTCTTTGGATTAAAAGGTTTCTTAAAAAAATTCTTTACTCTATTGTTTGAGTAAAATGCAACAGCCTCATCATCAGAATTCATTAGAAAACCTTCTTCTTCATCAGACTTCGATTTTTCATTCTCTCTTTCTGAGACCTTCGAAACTAGTGCCAATGGTCCACCAAGACTTGCTTTTGCTTCCTCAGCTATTTCACTAACTTCATTTTCATGAGATTTTAATTGATTGTACAAGTCATTCAAAGTCGAAGTATCAAAGCTCTGTTGATTTTTCACCATCATACTCACACTCCTCCACTCCTTTCGAAGTCCCATTACAAATATCAAATTGTACTCCATTGGTGACCTGATTATACTATAACGGTTACAATGATAGATTAGCTCGTTGAACTAATCATAGTATGCTTCAATAGACTCATTTTCTTTTTGTTTGAAATCTTTGAGTTCCACCAAGCATTGTTTCACAGATATGATCTTCGTCTTTTCACTTCCTTGAAATTTGTCTTTGAGATTATTCCAGATTTCTTTAGCTGTTTTGCATGTTCTGACATAATTGTACACAACAAGAGGTAATGCACCTCTTAATTCCCTCATGCATTTCTTCTCCAGACGTTTTAAACGTTCGGTTTGATTATCAACTTCTGTACTACTTGAAGACATTCCGATTGGCTGAACTTGTGTAGGTTGATTGACTTCTCCTGTGATGCATTTCCATAATTCTTCATCAAATCCATTCAAGTAATCTTCTATCCTATCTGCCCACTGATCATAATATTCTGGAATAAGCATTGAAATTTTTGTGGATGATCCAAGCAAATGAGAAAATGATGTCATCGAATTCAAATTGAATGACGCCATTGTTGTACGGACAAAAACTTCAAGATGATACAAAAACTTTTGAGAAAATTGAAATCAAATTGTATAATTAAATTCAGAATCACACAACGAACACTCGATTTACAAATATTTTTGCAGAATCAAATCCTAGATTGAGATCAGGAAGAATTTTTCAATTCAAAAAGGACGGAAACTTTTTGAATCAAACAGTAGATTCAAA